TCCCTTTGGCCAGTTTGGGTCAGCTGTCCTGGCTGTGCCCCCTCCCAGCTTCTTGTGCACCTCCAGCCTTCTCAGTCGGTAGAGCAGGGGAAGCTGAAAAGTCCTTGACTAGTGTAAGCATTACCTAGCAACAACTAAAACATCGGTGCATTATCAACTTTGTTCTCATCCTAAATCCAAAACACAGCACTGTACCAGCTACTAGGAAGGAAATTAACTCTATCCCTGCCGAAACCAGGACACCTTCTCTTCATCATCCCCTGGCCTCAGGTGCTGCATATCACACTCGATAGCTGTTAGACAGAAGACAAATGGATACTTATCACTGACACAGTGCAGTTCATATTATCTGTTTTATTCCTCAAATCAAGCTCTGGGATGACTGGTTATAACCTTAGTTTTACAGATCTGAGAACAGACAAAAGAGGCTTAGCACAGTTTGGTGCTAAGACTTTTTTTTTCCCCCAGAGTAGTTGAAGAACTATTTTCCACCAATGCCCCATCTTAATGTCTTTAAAATGTGTGACTCTTGCAAACCCTTAATTTCATCTCCTATGTCATATATGAATTAGGGAATGGGTACAATAGGAGTGGGTACAATTACTGGTATCTCTTCCTAGTTGCGCTACCTGAAATGAGTCTGTCTGTCTGACTCCTTTCTTGGTCTCAGTAACAGCTTTTAATGCAGCCCTCTCTGAAGCCTGTTCATAAGTCCTTTTAATTGACCGGGTTTGAACACAACATTCCCTTTTCGGTAAGAAGATAGTTAGCTCTCATTTCCTCATACAAATGTTAGATTAGTCATAATTTTAGCCAAGGGAAATTTAGACCAATGTATTTTTTTAGGTACATCCCCAGACAATGAAGGATAACAGACGTTTCAGAAACCAGCAACAGGGGCAAGCAGTCATCATGCCAAATCAGTCCGAAATGCTGACAGGGTGAAACACGTAGACACTATTTGTTCTTATGATTCAAAGCCATAAATCCTCCAGGGGCATTAGGTGTCTGAACCATCTGCCCTTTGGCACCTCTGCAGCAAATGGTAAATCCATTGGTACCATGTACAAGACATCTGTTCTCAAACGCTATTTCTTCTTGATTTGGGGAAATCTCTCTTTTGTTCACACTTCATAAGATTATCCTAACTACTGGCCTTAAAACCTGTCCTTTTAGTACCCCTGCTAGCTTTTTTTGAGGAATAATTGTTCCTTATTCAGTTTGCTGGCTCCTATGAATCCTTTTCCTAGACACTCATCTCTCTCTGTGTCTGGGCACTTAGCCCAGGCTATAGATTTCAAAGGCAGCAGGGTGCTGAGAGGTTAGACACCGTAATGTGGTAAGTACCTTTGTGGATCTAGCATTTCACCATTAGCTGAAAATTGATACTCTGTTATTTGTTTGAGCAACAGCTGTATATGCAATATATAGATAAAAGTGTACACAAAGTGTTTTTTGTGTTGGAGATAGCTTACACAATTCATTATAAATGTAGCAACAAGGCTGAAGTGCATTTTGTTTTGTTCCTATTCGTACTTAACACATTCTTCAATGTAGAGATGCTAAGATGCACACAGTACAGTCATGATTGAACTTGCTGCTGCAATGATGGAATAGTGTTTCTTCTACACCATTTTGACTGAAAATAGCTTTTTTAGATACTGCAGCTTTTCATTGCTTGATATCCATTCCACACAGATTGTAGATGGCTGTATATAGTGTATTATATGTATGCATTTTGTAATATTTGCATTTGAGTTTTATGTGGGAAGATTTTTTTTTCCTAAGAGCCATTGCATGAATAGAAATAGCTGAAAAATGTACTCTCAAAATTTGTGAGGTAACAAATTATTCCTTTATGTCATTTTTTAGGATCTGTTTTACTTTTCGAACCTGAATGACTCTGGGGACACTTAAAAGCTTGGCATTGTTTTTCAGTTTTTCCTTTTTAACAGTGAATTGCTGTTTGTTAAATTTATAGGATGTCTGCTAAATATTTCTTTTACATTTCAGCCCTGTTACTTGAGAAAGAGGTTGCCGTAAAGGTCTTTTTGAGTGTTTATCACAATAGCTTAATATCAGTTTAGAAAATTGGATAAAGATTTCATAGTACAGTGTCCATCTTTTCATTACTGGATTGTCAAAGATACCTGGCAAATATGAAGGTCACCTGCTATATGAGCTCATCTGTTGTTATTGGCAAATTAGCTGTCCGTCATGGGGACCCAGGCTGTTGATAAAAATATGAAGAAATATGTTGCCAGAGAAAGGCACTATATTCCATTTTAAAGCAGATAAATTATTTATATCTTCATACTATTTATAGATGGTAAAGAAATGTGTACAAACAATTTTTGTTAGAAATGGCAGATGTGCTGATTTGCAAATATTATTTCTTTCATATAAAGCAGAGAAGAATTCAGGATAAATCTAAATGATAGTATGCATCTCTCAATCTAATAAAATAATAAAGTAACTTCCCAAGAAATTGATGCATAGCTGAAAAAGGTGATATGTTTGCCTGCGACTAAAACTGGCTGATATAATTTGAAAGTTGTTATTTTCATACTGGCAGTTGTTAATTCCATGCTTCAGCTATGCCATGTCTAAACTTGATTCAAACTTAGGATCTGCCTGTGCAGAGAACTATTGAAGTCGATTAAATTCTGCAGAGGCAGAACAAAATCTGGTAGTGAATCCCAAGCATTTTCTAAATATTACATAGAATAGAATAGAATAGAATAGAATAGAATAGAATAGACTATTTCAGTTGGAATAGACCTACAACAATCATCTAGTCCAACTGCCTGATCAATTCAGGCCTGACCAAAAGTTAAAGCATGTTGGTAAGGGCATTGTCCAAATGCCTGTTAAATATTGACAGGCATGGGGCAGCTTTGAACAATTCCCACTCATTCTTTGAGTAAAAGAAATAAAAAAAGGCTTCATAAATACCTTTATTTTGTTTGTTTGTTTGTTTTACTTAAAGATTAAATACATTCAGCTTAAGAAAGCTAACACAAGAGACCTCTGTAATGTCTTCATGTAGCTCTACATCCTAAGCTGCATCTGGCTGGACCTTTGTTTTCATTCAAATCCTATCACTGACAGTGTGTATCAACCTAATTTGTGAAGTATTTTGGAAAAACATAAGGTTGACATTTTGATAGGGAGCACAAGATTGTTGAGAAAGTTGGAAAGCCTCCCCATATACAACATAGCCATCTAACTGTGACTTTAGTTGTCTAATTACCTTTAATGCATAGACATGTATATGCCCCGAATGATCTTATACATCAGAAAATAAATACCAGCATTCATTAAAAATAGAACAGCTCTTTTAAAACACATTCTTATTCTTTCTCACACTGAAGGCAATCTTCAATGTAGAAGTATTTAGATGCAGAGATGCAAAAATTATCATTTGTTTTGCCTTTGTCTAGTAACATGTCACTTTTTGTTAGAAATAAACATTTTCTCATTTTCTTAATTTTCTGGTTTTATTAATGATTAGATTCTCCACAAGAGGCTCTTATTTTGGGAATAACAACAGGCAAGAGCAAGTACTGGTGGGAGTTAGATGTACCAATGCAAATCAGGCAATAGTTCTTACAGAAAAAATAATTAAAATAAATAAATCAGCAAACTATCACAGAAGGATCATCGATGGTATAGGAAGTTGGTGTCAATCTGGACTCAGTGCTTCATGAAACAGGCTCAAGGAATTTCTCTCCTTGTCTGCTCAAACATAGATAACAGTGTCCTAATTGGGAAGTAGAGATTCCCCTGCATCGGTGTATGAAAGCCATTAGAAATCACTGAGTTTCTGTAGAAATTTGTCCCTTTTTGCAGGACAGGTAAAATGTAAAGATTTCAATTAGCACTTTCCTCCTTCTGTCAGGAAGAGATATAAATATCATCTCTGAGTTTGTGTTCATTTGCTGATTAGTAATTTAGAATATTCAATGACAACCCAAAACCTCTTAAATAATTAAGACAACAATTAAGAATGTCATAATAACAATTAGAAGTGATCTGTATGTATTCGTTCATAAGAGAACATTTCAAATTATGTACTTGATTCTGTAACCACAGCATTTATTGTTAATCTTATACTCTGTGTTGAAAAAGCAGAGGTGTATGATAGTACCTGGTACTGGAGAGCCACATTATGAACATAAGATAACTGTCAAATTGCGGCTCCATGGTTAAATGCAACCCTGTGGCAAGGCTTAGTTCTCAGCTGTCGTAAGTTGGGGTAGGTCTGTAGAACTCAGTCTGGCTGAGCCAGAGTGTGGTGCTTGAGGATCTGGCTCAGGCTGTCGTTTAAAATTTTATACAAAAAATATAGTAACAGGTAACTGAGTTGTGCTCTTTAGTTCAGCATTAAGTGTGTAAGTTTATACAGTGCATATTTCAAAATATATAGATAAGGTAACTTTTGGCTGCACTGCTATATGTCAGATTAACATCTTGTTTTCTTTGCCTGCCTGGTCAACTATGGATTATCTAAAGTGTGGATATTTAACATTTTAAAATTCTTCTTTTTCCCTTTTAATTTTTCTCAGGAGGTGTTTGCATTGCTCAGTCACTCAAAATCCCTCGAGAACCAAGACCAGGAGAATTTGAAAAGATCATCAAGCGCTTGTTGGAAACTCCAAATGCTCGAGCAGTGATCATGTTTGCGAATGAAGATGATATTAGGTACCTGTTTCTTAATTTTGCGTATTGAAGATATTCTCTCTCCACAGAGGTGCTCAATTGGCTGGTGCAGAATAGGATAACACAGGAGGTTTCAGATTCAATCCTATGTAAAAATTCTTGGAAATCTGGTGATAAGAAATTGAGTTGCAATTATACAGTGTGCTGGTCCTTTATTCTGTGGAGATCTAACCTGTTCCTAGTTCTTAAGAGTGCAGCTCCAATAGATTGTTATTTGGTGACTGAAAAGCAAGAAATCAATAAGAATGCTAGAAAAATATGGCTAAAGAGGAAACAAATTAACTTGTAGAGTACTATATCCTGAGTTCACTACAGCTGTTGTTGAATATGCTTTAGACTGTGAAAACTATTGACTAATTGGTTAGTGTGAGCTTACTTATGCATAGCCAGAATTAATGCTGGGGATTCTGAAGTTCTTTGTAAATGCAGTTTGTTTAATTAGTCATTTGTTGTTTATTTTCAGGCGAATACTGGAAGCAGCCAAAAAAGCTAATCAATCGGGACATTTCCTCTGGATTGGCTCAGATAGTTGGGGGTCAAAAATTTCACCAGTTCAGCAGCAGGAAGAGATTGCAGAAGGAGCAGTAACCATTCTGCCGAAAAGAACATCAATAGATGGTAGGAACGCACACGGCACAAAACCCTCATTTTCTGTCAATGATCAAGCACTCTAACTCTTTTTAAAAAAAAAAAATTAAAAAATCATAGAATCATGGAATAGTTTGGGTTGGAAGGGACCTCTAAAGGTCATCTGGTCCAACCCCCCTGCAATGAGCAGGGACATCTTCAACTGGATCAGGTTGCTCAGAGCCCCGTCCAACCTGACCTTGAATTTTCCAGGGATGGGGCATCCACCACCTCTCGGGGCAACCTGTGCCAATGCTTCACCACCCTCGGCATGAAAAATGTCTTCCTTATAGATAGTCTAAATCTACCCCCCTTTAGTTTAAAGCCATTCCCCCTTGTCCTGTTGCAACAGGCCCTGCTAAAAAGTTTGCCCCCATCTTTTTTATAAGCCCCCTTTAAGTACTGAGAGGCTGCAATAAGGTCTCCCCGAAGCCTTCTCTTCTCTCGGCTGAACAACCCCAACTCT